CTCATAATGCTTTCAGCTCTTGTCTAGGCACTGAAATGGATAGTGTTCTGAAAACTGATACAATTTTAAAGGTCAGATCCCTTAAAGCATTGTGATTCCTAGCCATTAATGTACCTTCTGGAACTGATTATTTAGCCTGGAGTTGCACTGTAGACTGTCCCATTCTTTTTTTCTGGGCTTCATCAAATACTTGCCAGGTGCAGCGACCAGTAAAACTGGGAAAGAAAGATGTGTGCGAGTGAGTTTTGCAACTGTCATTCTGTAACAGAGGCAGCAGGTATAGCCAGTTGTTTCTCAGATGCTGTGGAGCCATCTGGTCAGAAAGGTGTGGTCCTTCCCATTTCCTCAATTTCTAGTTTGATCTAGCTGTGTGGAAGACAGAGTATTGGGTGTAGGTTGGAACAGGATTGTGTGGTCCTCAGAAATAATTTTCCATGTCAGATACTTTTAACTCTTCTTTCCTATTCCATGCCTTGGATACTTTTAACTCTTTTTCTTCCTGTTCATCTACGAATTAATCCTAGCAGAGCCTCAGAGGCTGTCACCACAAGAATGACATTTTGATCCACTTGCACTCTACTGATGTATAGCATATAACCAGTTGATAGGGAGGCAACAGCACTAAGTGGGTCACCCCAGCATACTAGGAGCCATTTCTGCCACATCAGTGTGGCGAGTCACTCTGTCAATTATGGTTTGGGTTGTTTTTTTTTCTAATGAATCTACCTATTTGAATCCTTATAACGGTAGTATGTCATGGAAATTGTGCGTGTCATCTAGGTTTTTTTGTGTGGCTTAAAAGGAGCCTCACCCTCAGTTGCTGATAACTGATAGGGTTTCATTGACTTTGTGATTGATAGCAGACCTGTGCCTCTTAACAGAATATGGCTTTGAGCAAATGTCACAAGCTCACTCTGAGTGTCCCTTCAGCATACAGATAGCAATCGCCCTCCCTCTGCCCTCCACAAACACATTTGTCCACTGTTGGCTGCTTTCTCATTGGTACTCGTAACAAAAATGAGCTATAGTCCTACTGGAAAGTATTTACTGCCTGTAGATGGGGTACTAATTGTTTTTACTTTTCCATTATTAATTTCCAACCTCCAGTAAAAGCACTGGGCGTGAATCCACTGCTCTCTTGATTACAAAGAGTACTTAATTGATCAGCTCTGTTTTCTTTTTATTGTCCTGTGGACTGGAAGATAATGATGTGCAACGGGGAGGATATTCCTGCTTAGAGATAGTATTTCTGCAACCCCTGCAAAGCATAGCTAATGATCTGTAGAGTACCATCTGACACTTGGTGAGCAGGCTGCCTGCTCTGTCTTCCCCCACGCCATGTGCATACCTGTGTATTTACATTCTATATATAACGGCATGATCAAAACCAGTCTTTGGTAAATGTTTTAGTAACTTCTCCTCCTCATTGTTCTTACTAGCAGTGGTAACATTTGCAATTTCAAACTGTGGCAGGAAGCACATTTCATTTCTTAAAGGAAATCTGAATGAATTTAGAGGCCACAGAAAAGGACAGCTTGCAGTTTGTGTTGCTGCAGTCTGTCAAAGAAAATGGTCTCTGAGACAGATGCTGGTGTATTTAAAAACAAACAAACAAGAAAACCAAGTCTTGTGTGCTTTTTCTCTTTCCAAATATGGAATCTTAAGGAATGTATTCAAGCATCTGTCTAATTCACATACCATTAATTCCCTAAAGATTACATATGGACACCAAATCAGACCTGCGTCATTTATTTGGAAAATGAATGTACTCTTATATTTTATATCTGTGTCCAATTGTTAAAGGGCATAGAAAGAGGAATCTTATAAGCAAAATGTGCAGAGTCCTTCTAGAAAACTGAAAAGCATCAGCAGGACCATATCTAAGCCACTTTAAAACCCATAAACGTACTTTTTTTGCTATTAGTGAATGGGTAAATGGCTTTTTAAAGACATGAACAAACGCTTGTTAGAAACTCTTAGGTACAGCCTGTCATCATATAGGAGCTAGGAGAATGGACACCAACGCTGGTGTCTGAGGTCCTATTGTATTGCAGTGATAAGAGTAATCTCCCCTTTGTGTCTGTTTTGAGGACTCCAGCGAGTTGCTGCCAGATAGGGTTTCTTGGGGGTTTAATAGTCTCAAACAAGGACATCATCCTCCAAAGGCTCCGTGAGGATGAGAGCCGATGCTGGTGGCTTACAACCCCTCTCACACTTGTATGGCTCTTCATCAGCTTAACTAAGAGGCCAGTAGCACTCAGAAGAATAATGTGGATCTTGGTGGGAGACAGATGATCACAGTCTGCTTCAGTGGATGTGTGTGGGATGGGAAAAACTAATCCATGCCCTGGCTACCCTGTTCATTTCTCTGGTACATGAGTGCTAAAGACACTCAGATCCTTAGAGGCAATGACATTCTTGCCTTGCTCACAGCAGTGAATTCTTGTGAGCTCTGCTAACCGGCAGTAGAGACAGTGGTTAGTAGCCTTTGCTTTATGTCAAGGTTTACAGGCGTTAAGTTGCCATGGAGATCAGTAGGCGTTTCAACTGAGGAGGGATGGCAATTGTTCGCCCTGTGTGTATAAATCTGTTTGACATGTCATGTGTGTCGGATTTGGCTGTGCTGCTCACACCTGAGGTCCACTGGCTTGTTTGCCTGATTTCGTGTAGGGGAGCTGAACAACTGCCATGTAGTACTCATAGCACTGCGATGTTAGAAGGCGGCAGAACTGGGACTGGTACCTGCTGTTCCAGGGTCCGTATAATAGCAAAGTCTGGGCACTGAAGCACTTTCAGTGCAGTAAATCTAAAAGAAATTGTTTCTTGCACAACTTTCCCAGGCTGGAGCCTTTCTTGTGACAGCAGTAGGCATACTGGTTGTCTGAAGCAGAGAATTAAGAGACAGAAACAGAAATCTTACAACTTGAGAGATGTGGGAAGGAGGAATCTTCCCAACTCATTTTAGAACTTGTAAAGCAGATTAAAATACGGGGAGAAGAGTGAGCAGAATGAGTGCTGAATATAAATGTCTCGTTTACACTTGTAAAGGGTACGCAGCCTCCACGTGCTCAGAAACATTGCTGGGAAAACATCAATTAAAATGCTCCAGACTGACGAAGGCTTTAAAGCTGTTGAAGTAAACAGTGACTCATATTGGTTGAGAAGCAGGAAGGAAAAACACTTAACGGCCTACAGCCTGAGCTGGGCTCTGAAAAGAGGCTTCCCAAGGGGTCGACCTGCAGGCACTGGGATTTTAGCCAGCGCCTGCTGATCTGCAGCCTTCAAAGGTGAAGAGCCAAAGTATTTTACACTGACTTGGCAGCAAACCTGCTGGGTTTACAATGCATATACATTCGCAGGGTGCTACAGAGAAAAACTTGGCATACTGCTGACTTCAGAGTACGAGGAAACAGCCAGGGGATGAAAATATTTGGAAGGAAGGGTAATGAAGTTGGATGCTTTGCAGGAGGTGAAAAAAAGAAGGGGAAAAGGGCAAATGTGGAGATAGATTTTTGAATACCACTTGCTCCAGCAGCGCTTATGGAACTTCCTTCCATATACTTCCTGGACTGGAGCATCAATTTGAGATTCCTCTCTGTTTATCCCAAGAAAAAAGCTCCAGTCCTTTCAACAGGAGCGTGTGCATCTTGAAGACTGGTGTGAGCCTGTTGTATTAGCGGAAAGGCCTTTTTGCGCTGATCAAAAGTGTCTTCCTTCTCCTCCCCCCACCTCGTGTACTGCTTTTAACAATTTAATCCAGAGCAGTTTGTCTTCATGGGCTGTAATTGATCTGTCTGTGATTTAGCTCATCAGATGCTCATTAAAGAGCTTGCAGCCTTTCTTATTCATGAGGAATGAGAGTCAGGGATCTAAAACCACTTTGTCTTTGTCTTAACTGGATTCATTTAGTATTCTGGGATTCAGGGAGGCTAATAAACTTACACAAGCTATTATTTAAAGGTGAGCTGCCAAGTGAACATGAAGGATGATACAGTCACCGCCAGTGTGCTGAGCACTCTCCCACATGGGGTGTCAGATGTGAGCAGCAGAGGGAATTGTAGCTAAAACCGCAGCAAGACATTCCTCTGTGGAGGTGTCCCACAATGTCCTGGCTGTGTGTGATGGGATAATGCAGCTTGCGGTGGAGCTCCTGGAGATGTGTCTGCAATGAAGATGGCATTCTATGCTAGTGATGTCAGTGGGATATGCAGAAATATTTTATGCCTTGTATATAGAGTTCAGGCTTGACATCTGGTTTTCTGTTTTAAGCCCTGCTATTGTTCTCAGCTGCCGTCTGTGCTCTGGCAGTGCCTGTAATGATGTGCACTTCCCACGTCGCCTGCACACACACACTGAAAAAACGCCTTGTCTCCATCCTTTAACAAGGATACTCTGGCAGTCTGCGAAAGAGAACAATACCCCTGGGCTGCAGAAAGCAGTTTCCTTTCCCCCATACTTTAATGAACACTTGAGATATTTCCAAGCTGTAGGAAGAAGAGATGGGATGGATGAGATCTCCCTTCTCTGGCTCCGCATGCCAGAGACTTCCAGAAGATGAATAATTCCCAGCAATTACTGAATATACTGGATAGTCCTATGCTTAGTGTCATCAAACTGGTTGTGCCTCGGAAGTCTCTTAAGTAACTATGACCACGAGTGGGCTCTTAAGTTCTCTTAAGAGCTGTCTTTTAAGACAGCAGTTCTGCCAGGGAATACATGCAGCTGGATCCTGGGCCTGCACGGAATGTACTGACTGTGTTTGGGAATCGGGGAAGCTATGTGGCCTCACAGACAAAGGGATCTGATCCTTGTTAGGGCATGCTGCCATTAATGTGTCCTGACTTCCCAGTTGCTGTGTGTATCCGGATTGGGAAATCTTTGGGAATATAAACCTTTCCCAATTTCTCAAAGTCACGGAATGTATAAATATTCTGTGCTTGTGTTTATAATTGTACATTGTCCTATGTAAATATTAATACCATATTTTCCTTCCTTTGTAGTGTACGGAGGCCAAAAAGCATTGCTGGTACTTTGAAGGATTATATCCTACATATTATATGTAAGTAGTCATCGCTTCCCTTTTTGTGATTTCTAGTGCTCGAGAGAATTAGATTCTGAAGGCTCTTACAGTGTTGTTCTTTCACTGCTTACACTTTTCCCATAACTTCTTAGATGCTTTTTCTAATTTAAAAATGATGCAATAAACTTCCCTCTGTCCTCATGTTCCATCTCTTTCCCTTTCTCCATATGAACAAAAGTGTACAGACTTGTTCCACCACTCAATCCAAGGGACCTTTCCAATTGAAAACAAAATGCAGCTTCTTAAACAGCTCTTATTTCAGAATGCTGAAAGGAAACAAAAGAAGAGCCATGTGAGGACAGTTCTCCCTTTGTTTTGAGCAAGGGCAGGTAATCAGGCAGAATACCAAGAATGCCTTGAAAGTAAATTTGTCCCTTTGCTAATAATGTTGTTTAATTTAGGGAGTCAGGACGATTTTCTTATCCATGGCATAATTGTCCTTTTGATGAGTGGCATCTACATTCACATCAGGCTTTGTGTGACCCAAATGTCAATGACCTGTAGGTACCTGATTGAGGTTCTCTCTGAACTGCAGTTTTCTGTTTTAAATTGCCCACAGCAGCAACAAAGAGGTGGAGGAAATGCGTGGGTGGAAGGTATCTTCCCTGTGGATTTCAGGGCAGAAAGGAGGTAAAGGTACTAAACCTTGTACCTGGATTATATAGCTTTATAACTGCAAACATCTATAAACATAAGTTTAAAAACATAAAGTGGAGTGGAGAAGCAGGTAGCACCATTAGGTTGTCTGTTCCCTGAGCAAGCTCTTCCTTGCTAAAAGATTGGAAATTATTGTAATCCTAATGCTGCCCAAGAACTTTCCTCCCTTTTCTTCTCCACCTCCACTTCATCTGCCAGAAACAGGAGAGATATGCTAGAGACAAAAAGCAGTCAGGAAGCCAGGCAAGAAAGCAAGCTCACTGAAAGAATTAAACACTGTGTGGTTTATTCATCTGCGATCCTGAATGTTATCTGCTTAGGAAGTGTTTGTGCTTAGAACTCACTATCCTTTTTTCAGGTGACTGAAATGTTGAAAATTACTCATAAATGGTTGGCCAGAACAGATGGGTGAATTTAAATAAGTTCATTTTCTTTGCATACCAATAACAGGACTTTGGTTCCACCTACATTTTATTTTGTTTTACTGCAATGTGGGAAAGAAGCTGAGATGTTATGAAATTATGAAAATCTCACTGTGCCATCTCACTGTACTTTGGCATTCAGGAGTGTGTTACTCATCATCACCTCAATATTCTGCTTATGTTTCTGCCCCCATGCTTTTGCAGCCAGTGTTTGTCTCCCTTGGTAATACAAAGGGGTAGCTGCTTGCGTATTGAGTGTTAGTTCAGACTCTTCATGTCACAGGTAAATCCATACTGAGTCCTGCAAAGGCAAAGAGTACAAAAGGGAGGCTTGTTATGTGCAATAGATCTGATGCATGCAAAGTTGCTTTCTAATTAGTTTCCTTTTAGTAACTAGCTTACTGTTTTCTTTGTGCGCTGACACGGACCATCCTGTAGAAAAGCAGTGTGTTTATCTTCTGGTCCGTCGAAGAGGTTAATTGGAATTGCACACACCTTTAAACATTGGAAGGAAGGAAGTTGTGAGAGAGCCTATGGTGTTGGTGGGTTGCTTGGTTCCTTCGTTTGGGAGATCTTTTAATGTGGAAGCAAAACTGTTGTGTACTGACAGTGTGTGCGTTTGTGGTAGTTACTGCAGCACCCCGTTATCTGAGTCACTGCATAGAAGTGTTGTGATTGCCAGTTTCCTGGACAGTGTAAGTAAATAGAAAAAGGAAGGGGAAAGGGGTGGGATCTGTGTGTTCTTGGTGATTACTGCAGTGGCGATGAGTGTCACATTATTGCTATTGTTGTTATTGTGATTGCAAATCTAAGTGAGGAAGAAGAAATGCCAAGGAAAGACAATAAGGAGTTGGGGATGGTAAAACTCAGGGGATAGATATGGTGTGACAAGTGGAAAATATGGAAGGGACGGGAAAGAGGGTATTTGAGAACATGGGAGTACAGTAGGTTTAAAGGGGACATGCATCAAAAGAATAGGAGGTCATTGATATCTTCGGTTTCCTACTTTGTTACTTCTGCAATTTCAGTTTCTGTGTCTAGGATCCTCAGCTGCTTCCTACCTGCACTGTATGTAGGAGGTAGAGGAGAGGCACAACACCAATCTTAATATCTTTGGGTGAAGTCCCATTGCTTTGGCAGTTGTTTGACCCTTCACTGAGTTAATTCAACTTGCTAATCCCACAGAACATTGTTCATTTTAGCACATTCGAGTCAGTGTTGAATCAGCTTGGTACGGTTTTTGGCGAACACTGGTGAAATGGGAGGAAGGGAGTATTCTGCATATTGTGGGGGAGGAGGCATGAATAGGATCCTCTCCATTAGCATATGGTTAGATGTTAAATCATCTAAAAACATAATATGTAACTTTATCCTGAGAGTGTCTCCTCTGTGCAAATCTAACTCTGGGATGTGCTGTAGTGAAATGGGTTTTATTTTATCTTACAATTTCTGGAGCAACACTCCATGAGAAGCAGATATATTTAGTCGAATGAATTCGCAGTAGATTCCCTTCCTTTCTATCACTGGTTTTCTGACAGAAGTTTTTTCTACCCAGTTAACATATGTAGTCAGTCCTTTGGTCTTGTGATTATCTTTGGAGACTTATGAAACCCAGCAATGCAATACTTGTTACTGATTTCCCTGTGATCTCTGTCCCATACTGAGAGTATGTCACGTCTCTCTTGGAGACACTTTGTGTTATAATGAAAAGGTTGGCTTGTCAGCTCAGAAATACCAAGTCCTGTGTGTGAGTTCACAGATCTAGCGTGGCATGCTTGGACCAAGGCATCCCTGAAGTGGCATGTCCATATGCCCTATCCCTTCTGTGTAGGCACATCATCCTAGGAGGTGCCTGCTTCTTCTTACTTCTCCTGTTGATACAGAGAATTTCTAAGACTGCTCTTAACTTACTTCGCTAACTAAACCGACCATTTCTCCGTGTCCTAGTTGCCTGAGCACAAGATATTGTCAGTTAGATACCTTTCTCCTGTGTCAGCAAAATGTTTATGTGGCCTGGAAAAAATAACAAATACAAAGCAGAGAAAGGAATTAGTCATTGGAGTCTAATTCTTATCATTTGGAAAAGCAGGAAGCCAAGTATCCCTGGCGTTGCTTAAAGAATTAGATCATACATCTCCTTTCATGGATGGACATAAAGCAAATCAGAATTAAAGCTGTCTCAACAGACTTAACTCTGATCCTCTGCAAGGATACTCTTCTTACTCTCACTTCAATAAGCCAGCTCAGTCTTATTTGAGATGTACCCAAAGTGCTTATGGTTGGTGGAAGAGATTGTCAGGATACTTCTCTTACGTGGCAATAATGTGAATAATGACGTAGTGAATGCATTAGATTGTGAAACCACCTTCTCTATATGCAGATGGCAGCAGCCCTTAAGATACTCCAGTTGTTTTTTCAGCTTCTGAATTGGGAATGAATAGTAAAGGGAAAGCTGCCTTACGTTTTGCTGATGAGGAGTAGTTTGATTAGAATGATACTGAATGTCTCCCTCATTGTTCCCTGGTATGACTGACCAATGCCATAGGTCTCTTCTGTTTAGTTTTCCTCCTGTTGTTAGCTACCAACACACTGGAACTTTTAACGAGGTGATAAATTCCAGATGCTAGAACCTGAATGTTTCTAATCCTTTCCTTTCCAGACTCCAAGGCACATTTATAAAGCAGCACAAATGTTTTTGAGTATGAGTGGTAAGCACGTGTCCACAGCAATAGAAATACCATTGCTGATGTCACTAGGTCAGTGAAGTTGTCACCCATAGGGAGGGGGTTGGCTGACTTGGAGAAAAGAGTTTTGATGCTACGCAGTATTGAGTTAACATTATTTCAGCTCATCCTTTTGGATTATTGTGCATTGAATTTTTTGACAGTGTGATATTCTAAGAGAAGTAGTGAGGAAAATAGAGTAACTCTGGTTAGAGAATTGGAGAATAGATCAGGTAGAAAGGGTTCTCAGGAGACCTCCAGTCAAACCTCTTGCTCAGAGGTTGTCCTCCCACCCTACACCACTGGGAAGATCCTACCTCCATCTTCTTAGTAACCCCCTCCTGGGTATTAGCAGGCTGCTCTTGGGTCCCTCTGAAGCCACTTCTTCCCTAAACTGAACAAGCCCATGTCCCTCAGCCTCTCCTTATTGAGCAAGTGCCCCAGCCTCTATCTTGGTGGCCCTTTGCTGGGGACCAGTTTCTTAAATTCATTCTTTTTACTGAGGATGTCAAAACCAAATGGGTGGTTTTTAGATGTAGTCCAACAAGTGCTCAGTGGAAGGTGCTAAGTTACCTCCCTTGATGCACTGGCTAGGCTTCTGTTGACACAGTCCAGGATGCTACTGGCCTTTATTGCTGTCTTGGCACATGGTTGGCTCACATTTTGCTTGCTGTCTACCATGACTCTAGTGCCTTTTCAGCAGAGGTGCCACACAGCCAGCAAGATATTCGTCCTTCCCACAAGCAACACCTTGCTTTTTGGCTTTGTTCAATTTCATGAGGTTCCTGACAGGCCATTCCTTCAACCAGTCTAGATCTTTTAGCAGCAGCCCTGCCCTAGAGGTCATTGACTGATGCCCACTTTGGTGCCATCTCCAAGTCTGGTGCTGTGTCACCAAACTGAGCATCATGCTTGTCAAAAGGACAGGTCCAGACCTCTGTGGTACTACCACCAATTGCCAGTACTGTCTAGGGAGTTGACCGCTGCCCTCTGAGTTCCACCATCCAACCAGTTATGTTTACCCATCTAGCTCTCTGCCTGTCCAGACTGTCATGGCCAAACTTGGGTACAAGAATATCATGAAATACAGTGTGGAAAGCCTTGCTGAAGTTAGAGTAAATAGTACCTGCCGCTCTCTGGCTTGTCCACAGGTACAATCCACTGCTTGTGTAGTGGT